GTATTTCAGATTGCAGCTCGAACTCGGCCTCCGGACCGATCTGAACACTTGGGCGGACCTGCACAAAAAGGTGAGCACTCCGACGATCAAGTCAGTATAGGTCGGATTCCTAGTTTAGTTCGAGGCCAGAAATCATCGTACCTGATCGTGGAGTGAAGTCCTCTACTTATGGGTGGTAGTCCCGCTAATCTCGCAAAGGATACACCCGGTAATCTCGGGATCGTCGGTTACACCCGGTAATCTCGGGACCGACGATTATGCCCGATAATTACGCCGCTGACAGTAGTTCGCCTCGGCCCCCACCGAGCTTCCCGGTAGGTTGGACCTCGGCCACATTCACCTCGGCCCTCATACTTAGCGTCTGCCAACGCCAGTAATGGTGATCTCGGCCGTCCGAGCTGGGCATGACTCATGAGTCATCTTGGAGCACCAATAAGGGTCCTCCACGTGTCCAGGGTATTCTCTTCCCCAAACAGACTATATCAATAATAAACGTATATGGCTAATAGTGTCTTTCAATGATATACATGATAGACATAAATGAGTGATATGCGAAGGGGAAAAGAGAATCACGTAAAACTATCTAATTAAGGGTACAAAATATATATATATATCCAATTTTGCAAAATAGTTATTTCCATAGCTTGTTGGTAGTTTTGTGGAGGCACTTTTGACAATTATATTAGATAAGAAAATATTTATTTCTAGATGTTTAAAATTACTTTTGATTTTTTTTAGGTATAAATTCTTCCTTTGTTATTTTCCTTTCTTGGTGAAGGCTATTTAAAGTTCATCTCGTATACTTGAAAAACAACTTTGGAGGAATAAAATTTGAGTTTTTAACTCAATTCTTTGTTAAGAACATTGAACCCCACCCTTATTGCATATCGACAATCCGTTCCAACTTATCTGTCAAATTGACCGTTAAATTTTCGAATTTATATATTAGACGTTCACGGAGGCTCAAATATCATAAACATTATTTAGTATAAGACAAGTTTATTATTTATATTAAATGCAAATTTGTCGTCTCTTTCAATCACCTCTTTCTGGCATCTCAGCAACCAAATTGAAACTCGATTATAGATTTCAATTTTTCCTTTTCCCAGCCTGCCCCTAAATTTTAATAATTTTTTATTTGATTATTAAACTTGATCTTCATAAATTAATAATATTTATTGAATATTAGCAAAAAAATTAATTACTAAAAATAATACATAATCGAAGCAAATTAATTTCCTTTAGATTTTAACTTTAAACTGTGTATTTTATGTGTTATTTAATATTTAGGTTCAAGTACTATTTTCATACCTAATCTCTTACAGTTCTCGTATTTCTAATTTATGTTCATTTTAGTCCCTATAATTTCAAAATGTCTATTTGATACCTATTTGTAAAATTTTAAAATAAATTTTATACACGATGGAAACCTATTAATACAAATTTATGATGACATTTCAAAAAATTAATATAGTGAATTGTCATGCTAAAATTAAAAACAAAATGAAAATAAACCAACACTTTTTAAAAGCACGTAACCAAAATAGATATTTTGAAACTAAAATGAACCAAAGTAAACTCAATAATTAATCAAAAACAAAATCCATGACCCGTTGTCATATCTAAACTAAGGAGTAAAATGGTAATTCAACCATTTGTATAGAAACAAATTTATGGAGCAAGACTTTGCCACATGAAGGGAGGACCCCAACCAACAGCAGCTGGACCATTCAATGGAACACCTAGAATAAATTATGAGAAAGAGAGCTGAGCACACCAATATTGACTTGTGAAAAGCCAAAAGAAGACCAAGACTTCACAGTTAACAGTAGCAAATTGACTGACTTGTCTCTGCCAAAGCTTCCATTTCCTTTAAATGATTGGAGAAAGAATTCAATATTGAAGAAAATGGATAGCCACCAGATTCTGTCCAAACCCAAGCTTGGCTTCTCAGCTTCATTCCGAGAAGCCTTCAAAATCATCCTCTCTAATCATCCAACCTTCATCTCTCTCATCATCCTCTTCTCCTTCCCCCTCTTCGCCTCCCACACTCTCCTTCACCCGACCTTCGTTCAAATCCTCGAGCTTCTCTATCGAAAAGATCCCTTCAATCCACACGTCGTTCACTTGATCGCCTGTCGAAGCACTGACACCAACTGCTCGTCCCTGCAGCAGTCTCCCAGCATTGATGACAGCTTCGAGGCAATTCTCTCCCTGAGGTTTCTGATCTCGACTCTTCTACTGTCGGTGCTCGTCTTCTTCCTCGACCTTCTCAACACAATTGCAACAGTCTCCATATCAGCATCATTGTATGGAGGAAACAGCTCCCAGATGGGTTTCAAGGAAATGCTGCTTCAAGCCAAAAGGTTGGGTCTCAAAGGGCCATTGACAACATATCTATTTGCTGTTTTGCTGGCTTCACTCATTCTCTTGGGATTGGTTGCTCTGTCAACAAACATGTTTTTTGTGACTAAAGGCATCTCTTTTATGTCAATAGACATCTTTTTCATCTCACAGCTTTTATTTTTTGGGTCAATGTTTGTGGTTTTGTTAGCAAAGTATATAGAGTGGAGTGCTGTTTGGAACATGGGGATTGTTATCTCAATCTTGGATAAGAATCAGGGCTACATAGCAATTGGGGTGGCAGGATTTCTGAGCAGAGGCAGCAGGAAGTTGGGGTTCAGTTTGATGCTGGTTTTCTTTGTCTTGAAAGTGGTTTTTGGGATTCCTTGTCTCTATTCCTTGTGGAATGAGGGAAAAAATTGTGGGGTTTTGGGGAATGTGGTGACTTTGAGTTTGAACTGTATGGGGAATGTTGTGATGTGGGTTGTTCTTATGGTTTACTTCTATGACTGCAAAAGGGAGTTTTTGGAGAAGAAGATTGATTTGGAGAATAATGGGAAATCTACTGAGGTTGTTCAACAATGAATGAGTTGAGTTGTATTGTGTATTTGGATCACGTACTACATAAGTGTTCCAGAGATGAGTTCAATCTCAGTCGTCTACAATTTGGCACCACTCGATCCCATATACTTTGGAAAAATGATGGTTCAGGTCCTGTTTGCAAAATAAAATTTTATACATCTCGAGCATTCCGTATTACATAATTATAACAATATTAGAAAAAATATGTCGAATATAATGCTGTGCTAAAAATTGTAAACAAAAAGATCATAGGAACAAAATAATAAACGAACTTAAAACAATCCATTCCTAAAAGTAGAAAGATCCAAATAAAATTTAAACTAAAATGTTATTACAATCTCTATGATTTTGATAAATCTTTCAAAGCGTCTTAATCATTATCATATGTTAATCATTTTTTATGTAGCTTAGTTTTTCTGGATGTGGTAGAGAGATATCGTGAGCTAGCATTCAATGAAAGATTATTGGAAGTATTAGAAATCTTATGATAGGGTAGGATTTGCCTTTAGGGGTATTTAGGATTATTAATACAATAATAATTGTACGTTAGTAATTAGATAGAGAAGTTGTTAGGTGTTATAAATAGAGTGCGAGGGTAAGGATGTGAAGGCAGGCAATAATCACAGGCTTGAGCGATCTCAAGAGGGGAAGGGGAAGGAGAAGGTCTAAGTACCTCCAATGACTTGGGAATTATTGTAATCCTTTTTACCTTTCAATTTATTTTAGCTATTGATTACTATCATCAAGACATTTGATAATGAAAGAGATGTTTTGAGAGATCTAATCAAATGGTAGGAGTTATAATGAAATTTTCAATACCATTTGACCAAATTGAAATTAGAGTTGAAAGGAAATGGACTAAAATGATACTATAACGATTTTCTAAGAAACTTACAGTTGACTTTGGCATGTGAGAGCCCGCACATGTCGGCAACAAGCACACCAACATGACTTGGGAAAAGGCCATAAGATGAAGACCATCAAGGCTATATTCTTTCAATGAACATTACAGAGAACTCAAGATTCAAGATGGATAGCCACCAGATTCTGGTGAAACCCAAGCTCGGCTTCTCGACTTCATTCCGAGAAGCCTTCAAAATTGTCTCTCATCATTCAAACTTCATCTCTCTCATCATCTTCTTCTCCTTCCCCCTCTTTGCCTCTCTCCTTGCCCACCACACTCTCCTTCATCCAACCTTCATCCAATTCCTCAAACTTCTTTCTCACAACATCATATGTCGATTAAGTGTTGCCACAGACTGCTTCTTGCAGCAGCTTCCCTCCATTAACGACATCTTCGAAGTGACTCTCTCACAGAGTCAGTGGTTTCTGATCTCAACTCCTCTCTCCACATCAGTCATCTTCTTTCTTGACATTCTGTCCACAATCTCAACAGTCTCCATATCTGCAGCATTTTATGGAGGAAACTCCCAAAAGGGTTTCAAAGAGATGTTGGTTGAAGTCAGAAAGCTGGTGGCTCTGAGACTGAGAGGGTCATTGGAAACATCTCTATATGCTCTTTTGTTAGCTTCACTCACTCTACTGGGTTTGGTTGCTTTGTCAACAAACATGAATTTGATGCCAAAAAGTTCATTTATCTTTGGGCCACTCTTTGTAGTTTTATTGACAAAATACATAGAGTGGAGTGCTGTTTGGAACATGGGAATTGTTATAACAATCTTGGATAAGAACCAGGGCTACATAGCAATTGGGGTAGCAGCATATCTAAGCAGAGGCAGTAGAAAGTTAGGGTTCAGTTTGATGCTGGTTTTCTTTGCTTTGAAGGTGGCTTTGGGGCTGCCATGTCTCTATGCTTTGTGGAATGAGGGGAATTGTGGGGTTTTGGGGAATGTGGTGTCTGTGAGTTTGAGCTGTGTGGGGAATGTTGTAATGTGGGTTGTTCTTACGGTCTATTTCTATGACTGCAAAAGGCAATTTCTGGAGAAGAAGATTGATTTGGAGAATAATGGGAAAGCTGTGGCTGTCCAAGTTCAACAATGAATTGAATTGAATCGAGTTGTGTATTTGGATCACATGCTATCATATGAGTTGAAGATATTTCCTGCCATCTAAAATCTGGCTTAGATTTCTCTCACATCCAGAAGCTCAATATCCATCTTTGATGTTGTGTATTTAGTTCTGTGAGAAAACATGTTTCAAGTTACCTCCAATTCCTTTCCAAAAATAATAGAAGTTTTTTCTTCATTTGCAAGTTCACTTAAGAATAGTTGAGAAACATAAAAGGGTATTTCCTTAACCTTCTCGTACTTCCAACTTTTGTTCATTTTAATCCCTATAATTTCAAAACGTCTATTTTGATGCCTATTTGCAAAATTTTAACATAAATTTTATACACAATGGAAACCTATTAATACAAATTTATGACTACGTTTCAAAAAATTAGTAAACTGAATTGTCAGACTCAAATTATGACTGAAATAAATGAGATAAATTGAAAATAAACGAACAAAAATGATTACTTTTTAAAAGTACATGAACCAAAATAGATGCTTTGAAACTAAAATGAACTAAAGTTGAAAGTAGAAAATGTTTTGAAAGTTTAGAGACCAAAATAAACCAAATTAAACTCGATACTTGATCAAAAACAAAATCCCCGAACTCAATTGAGATGAGAGTAGAAAGACATCCATGATCCTGTCACACCCCGTTGTCATCTCTAAACTAAGAGAGTAAAATGGTAATTCAACCATTTCTGTAGAAACAAAGCTATGGAGCAAGACTTTGCCACATGAAGGGAGGACCATTCAATGGAATACCTAGAATAAATTATGAGAGATAGAGAGAGCTCAGCACACCAATATTGATTTGTGAAAAGCCAAAAGAAGACCAAGACTTCACAGTTAACAGGAACAAATTGACTTACTTGTCTCTGCCAAAGCTTCCATTTCCTTTAAATGATTGGAGAAAGAATTCAATGTTGAAGAAAATGGATAGCCACCAGATTCTGTCCAAACCCAAGCTTGGCTTCTCATCTTCATTCCGAGAAGCCTTCAAAATCATCCTCTCTAATCATCCAACCTTCATCTCTCTCATCATCCTCTTCTCCTTCCCCCTCTTCGCCTCCCACACTCTCCTTCACCCGACCTTCGTTCAAATCCTCAAGCTTCTCTATCACAATGATCCCTTCAATCCATTCGTCGTTCACTTGATCGCCTGTCCAAGCAATGACACCAACTGCTTGTCCCTGCAGCAGTCTCCCATAACTGATGACAGCTTCAAGGTAATTCTCTCCCTGAGGTTTCTGATTTCGACTCTTCTACTGTCGGTGCTCGTCTTCTTCCTCGACCTTCTCAACACAATTGCAACAGTCTCCATATCAGCATCATTATATGGAGGAAACATCCCCCAGATGGGTTTCAAGGAAATGCTGCTTCAAGCCAAAAGGGTGGGCCTCAAAGGGCCATTGACAACATCTCTATTTGCTGTTTTGATGGCTTCACTCACTCTCTTGGGTATGGTTGCTCTGTCAACATACATGTTTTTTGTGCCCGAAGGCATCTCTTTCATGTCAATAGACATTTCCATCTTCACATTAATTTTTGGGTCAATGTTTGTGGTTTTGTTGGCAAAGTATATAGAGTGGAGTGCTGTTTGGAACATGGGAATTGTTATCTCAATCTTGGATAAGAATCAGGGGTATATAGCAATTGAGGTGGCAGGATTTCTGAGCAGAGGCAGCAGGAAGTTAGGGTTCAGTTTGATGCTGTTTTTCTTTGTTTTGAAGGTGGTTATTGGGATGCCTTGTCTCTATTCCTTGTGGAATGAGGGAAAAAGTTGTGGGGTTTTGGGGAATGTGGTGACTTTGAGTTTGAACTGTGTGGGGAATGTTGTGATGTGGGTTGTTCTTATGGTTTACTTCTATGACTGCAAAAGGGAGTTCTTGGAGAAGAAGATTGATTTGGAGAATAATGGGAGATCTATTGAGGTTGTTCAACAATGAATGAGTTGAGTTGTGTTGTGTATTTGGATCATGTACTACATAAAATTTCAGAGATGCTTGTTCCCCTATACTTTGAAATCGTTCAGGTCCTATTTGTAAAGTTTTATAGGGAGTGAGAATTCTGTATTCCATAATTATCACAATATTAGAAGAAATATGCTGAATGTAGTATCATGCTAAAATTGTAAACAAACAATCATAAAAAAATAATAATAAATGAACTTAGAACAATTTCATAAGTATAAACATGAAAATAAAATTTAGGCAAAATTACCGCTTAATTTTACCCTTTATTTCAAAAATACATCAACCCTTTCAGAAGTTTAAAATTCAAAAATTCACTTTGAACAAATATCTTTTTGAATAGGACAATAAACGTAAATAAATTATAAAAATACTGAAAAACTTTGCCCTTTGTTTAAAAAATATCTCTATCTTTTAAAAAATTTCAATATTACCATTGACCTTTTATAAAAGTTTCAAAAATATTTTGAACAAACATCCGTTAATTTTTCCTCTTCTATTGTCTACAAACTTGAGGTGTCTCAAAAATGCACTGAATTGAGTTGTATATTACATAAGAGTTTTAGTGATGAGTTCAATCGCTCCTTGCGTAATAGCAACAAGAGAGTGAAGAACGAATAATCAATTCTCTACAACTTAGCATCTTAAGTCGTACATTTTAGTTATTATACTTATCATTTACTTTGAAAACTGATTGCTCGGTCTTGTTTACAATATTTTATACACACAAAAAAATCTTTAATGCAAAATTATGACAATATTGGAAGAAATCTCGAGTGTTGTGCTAAAATTGCAATAAAAAAATGATACGAAAGCTAAGAGTCATTTTTATAATAAAAAGATCAAAATAACATTTAAACTAAAATTTTATTATACCCTCTATAATTTTGTTAAAGTTTTCAAAATGCCTCTATCATTATCATATGTTAATTATTTTCTTAGACCCTGAGCTAGCATTAAATACAAATAATAAATAAGTTTTATCATAAAGTATTAGAAATCTTATCATAAATTTAAAAATAATAAACTAAAAGAAAACGATGAGAACAAGGCAAAAAATAACACATTAGACCTGCCAGAAATGCTGCAAAGACGATACAAGACTATTGAAAGTATTCGACATCTTATCAGAAATTTTAAAATAATAAATAAAAGTTAGATGAGAACAAGGCAAAAAATAACCCATTAGACCAGCCAAAACTGTTGCAAAGCCACAAACAGAAGGACAAAAAGGAATCGAAAACAGACAAACAGCATAAGAAGCACAGATAAACTTTTAAAAAAATAAAATAATCAAAATCATAGGAATTATAACGAAATTTCCAATAAAATTGTACAAGATTGAAGTCAAAGTTCAAAGATACTAAAATAAAAAATGATACTCTTTAACAATTTTTTAAGAAACTTACAGTTGGCTTCGGCATGTGAGAGCCCGCACAAGTCAGCAACAAGCACACCAACATGACTTGGGAAAAAGGCAACAAGATGAAGACCATCAAGGCTGTATTCTTTCAATGAACATTACAGAGAATTCAACGATTCAAGATGGATAGCCACCAGATTCTGGCAATACCCACGCTCGGCTTCTCGGCTTCATTTCGAGAAGCCTTCAAAATTGTCTATCGTAATCCAAACTTCGTCTCTCTCATCATCTTCTTCTCCTCGCCTCTCTCCTTGCCCACCACATTCTCCTTCACCCACCCTTCATCCAACTCCTCAAACTTCTTTCTCAGGAAAATCCTTTTAGTCCATCCCACCGGTACATCATCAGATGTCGATTAGGTGCTGCCACAGACTGCTTCTCGCAGCAGCATCCCTCCATTAACGACAGCTTCAAAGCGACTCTCTCACAGAGGCAGTGGTTTCTGATCTCAACTCTTCCCTCCACAGCATTCATCTTCATTCTTGACCTTCTCTCCACAATCTCAACAGTCTCCATATCGGCAGAGCATTATATGGAGGAGACTCCCAAATGGGGTTCAAAGAGATGTTGGTTGAAGTCAGAAAGCTGGTGGCTCTGAGACTGAGAGGGTCATTGGCAACATCTCTATATGCTCTTTTGTTAGCTTCGCTCACTCTACTGGGTTTGGTTGCTTTGTCAACAAACATGAATTTGATGCCAAAATGTTCATTTATCTTTGGGCCACTCTTTGTAGTTTTGTTGACAAAACATAGAGTGGAGTGCTGTTTGGAACATGGGAATTGTTATCTCAATCTTGTATAAGAACCAGGGCTACATAGCAATTGGGGTGGCAGCATATCTAAGCAGAGGCAGCAGGAAGTTAGGGTTCAGTTTGATCCTGGTTTTCTTCGCTTTGAAGGTGGCTTTGGGGCTGCCATGTCTCTGTGCTTTGTGGAATGAGGGGAGTTGTGGGGTTTTGGGGAATGTGGTGTCTGTGAGTTTGAGCTGTGTGGGAAATGTTGTAATGTGGGTTGTTCTTACGGTCTATTTTTATGACTGCAAAAGGCAATTTCTGGAGAAGAAGATTGATTTGGAGAATCATGGGAAAGCTACTGTGGCCGTCCAAGTTCATGTTCAACAATGAATTGAATTGAATCGAGTTGCATATTTGGATCACATAATACCATATGAGTTGAATCGAGTTCAACATTGATTTTGGTGCCATCTAAATCTGGCACTGAAATCGAATGGAGATCATTTAGTAGAGTTCTGTCACATCCAGAAGCTCAATATCCATCTTTGATGTTGTGTATTTAGTTCTGTGAGAAAACATGTTTCAAGTTACCTCCAATTCCTTGCCAAAAATAATAGAAGTTTATTCTTCATTTGCAAGTTCACTTAAGAATAGTCGAGAAACATAAAGGGTATCTCCTTCACCTTCTCATTCCGCCATGGAAGCCTGCAAAATTGGAGTTTAGAAGCTCTGTTCTACTCGGTTGTAGAAGCAAGAGAAACTCCCTCCTGCCATTGTAGCAAGATGATAAACATTGGAATATAATGAACATATGAAAGGGATTGGTTTAATTCAAAATAATCGTTGTAATTTAGAGTAAATTCAATCTAACCCTTCATGAAGACCACCTATTTTTAGGCATTTTACAGACAAAACCGCCATGGCCAAGCATCATTGTCGTTGGCTATTACACCACCAGTTGGCCGCTCCCCCATTTTGCTAGCACCAACCCAATTATATCCCCTTTTTCCTCCAAAACTTCTCATGTTCTTCTTTGTTCTTCCTCTCTCCATCAACCCTCTGTCTCTCA